TTATAGTAGGATCATATAAGCCCCCAAAGGTTAAAGCTACTCAGCCCCTGAGCAGTTCAAAATAGCCGGTTACAGGTATCGGGTACTTCGGACCCTTTCAGACGCCATGAAACCCTACAGCACCACTAGCCCACCTGGGTCATCTTTTTCCTTTGGACCCTTCAAGCAGGGAATCTTGCACCCAACCCAAAACTCACTTAACCCCAAACCCCAACAACCTGTAAACTCCAAGCCCAAACAACCTCTAAACCCCAAGCCCCAACCACCTCTAAACCCCACTCCCCAAACTAAACCCCAAACCCCAAACCTTAAACCTTAAACCCTAAACCCTAAACCCCAAACCCCGAACCCTAAACCCCAAACCCTAAACCCTAAAAAACCCAAACCCTAAACCCCAAACCCCGAACCCTAAACCCCAAACCCCAAACCCTAAACCTCAAACCCCAAACCCCGAACCCCGAATCCTAAACCAGAAACCCTAAACCAGAACCCCCTAAACTCTAAACCCCGACTCCTAAACCAGAAACCCTAAACCCCAAACCCCGAATCCTGAACCAGAAACCCTAAACCCCAAACCCCAAATCCTAAACCCTAAACCCCGAAACCCCGAAACCCCGAAACCCCGAATCCCGAATCCTAAACCCTAAACCCCAAACCCCAAACCCCGAACCCAGAAACCTAAACCCTCAACCCCGAATCCGGCCTTCCAGCAGAAGAGCTTCATTGGCCAGGCGGCGTCCTGCAAGGAGCGGCGGAACCTAACCTCTGCCCTCAAACCGGAGCACTGATGTAGGGGCCTTAAGGGTCTATTTAGGGTTTAGGGGTTTAGGGTTGTTTGGGGGTTTAGGGTTTAGGGTTAAGGGTTCTAGGGTTTAGGGTTAATTTAGAATAGGGTTTTGAGCTCTTTTATAGTATGGTTATGATACGGAACCCTAAGAAATTACAGTGGTAAGTATTTGGGCTTCTATAATATACTAGGGCCGGCTTACCCCGAACCCTGAACCCCAAATTAGAGTTCAGGGATTCATTCGGGCTTCGGGACTCTACGTCGAGCTTCGGACGTTTTCCTATAGGCTACTACAGGCTTTGAAAGCGTTTTTGTTTCCGGCTTGGAACGGTTTTGGGGGAGTTGCACAAGGAGTTAACCCTAAACCCTAAACCCTAAACCCTAAACCCTAAACAGTTTGACGGAGGGATTCGTGGAGATATCTTGAGATCATGCAAGGCTCTTTGGGGAGAGGATCCTGCCTTGTCCCGTGTTTTCTGAAGTGCCCAAGCATCAGTCCTGCCTGCAGCCTCTGTTGTACTTTGTTTTGGTCTAACCAGCTTTTTATATAGGTTCCGACGTAAGGGGACCCCCAAAAACGAACGACAATGGATACCGTTAAAGAGGTTTAGGGTTTAGGGTTAAACCCTAAACCCTAAAACCCTTAACCCTAAACCCTTAACCGTAGCATTGGCGACCTGCTGGAGGCAGTCGCTGCACCAGGAGCACTGAGAGGCGAGATGGTCGAGAGAGCCCAAGGGCTCTGATCCTGACATGCTCGGGGGTTTAGGGTTTAGGGTTTAGGGTTTAGGGGGGTCCTGGGAGAGTTGAAGGGTTTAGGGTTTCAGAACACCAAACCCTAAATCTGCGGCTTAGGGCTTAGGCATTTGTAAAGGGTTTAAGGGGTATGTAGGGTTGACTGTGTCGGCTTGCAACTTCTAGGTTTCCGATCTCAGCAGGACTTCATGGGGGTCGTCCGGGCTGTTGGCTTGCGGTGGCCTCATAGGACTTGTCTCATTTTTGAGTGCAAGGGGCGCCCTTTTGTCTCTCATAGGGTTTTGAGGTTTGGGCTTCTTTGGATTAGGCTCAGAGCTGCAGCCTTATCAGCGCTGATGGTTCAGGGTGTCTCGTCAGGCTTCAAACCTGTGGCAGGGATGGGCAGAGTGTGGGACAGATGGTGTGCAAGGTAAAAGTTGTGTGATGGATGCAGCTTTCAAGACCTGGACTTTCGGCAAGAGCAGCAACCGCTAGATACACACGCAGATAAGGTTTCTCGGGGCAGGCATCTCCATGTACCGCCATGTTGTCTCTGAAAATGTTAGCTATGCTAAACGGCCGCAGTGTACAAACCGGCGTAATCCCATCGCAATCAGGCTCTTTTTGCTTCAGGAAACAACGGCCTCGCTCCCCGATTTACAACTGTTTTGCATGTTGCCCCGCCACCATTCCAGAGCTTATGCCACAAGAATGGGAAGCGGGCACCCATCAGTAAACCCTAAACCCTTAAACCCTAAACCCTTAAACCCTTACCCTAAACCCCAAACTAGAAGCGACGCAGACCCCAGAGCCCCCAAAAACCCCAGACCCCCAACACACCCAAACCCCCCAATGAATCGCATACCCGGCCACACCACTGAGGGAAGCTTTCGAAGATCCTAGGTCTTGCAGGGAGGAGACTTCTGGGATGGGGTTCAGGAGACTTGGTACGCAAGAGTTTACGAACCCCAATACAGGGGCCTAAATAATTACCAATACTATTTTGGGAGGGCCCCTTATTATAGTCACAGTATAATGGGCCCCAAAACCCTATTCTAATTATTAAGGCCCCTCTATTACAACCCTAAGCCCTTCTAGAATCATTAGGACAATAAGCCCGAGCGGTAAGCATTTAGTGACTTAAAGATTGGAGAATCCCTTGTCGACAGGATCCATAAGACATCGAGTACACAAATAAAAATTCACCGCCGCACAACACTGAGCAAGTAGAAGCACAAACTCAAAACCCCCGTCGAGACCCTAAACCCTTTACCACAGATCCTCTAATTCTAACCGCAAGGCCCTACCTGTAGTCTCCATTGTAGTTCCTTTTTGGGGATACCTTATAAACATCCTTGCTATATCATTGGTTAAACCAAAAAAAGGAACTACAATGGAGACTATAGGTAAGATTCTGTACGCCCCAACAAGAATGGCCCAGGCTCTGGGTGAGGCCCAATCAGGGTGCGTGCCAGCCGTGGAGGATGTAAATCCTCCTGAAGAGGGTGCGAAGACTACTTGCTTCTGTCGTTGCATCTCTTGGCTTTTCCGGGGTTCTGTGTAGGCTTTTAGTATGAAAGGATCTCATATGTTAAAGTAGCTCCCTTTCCGGCCTACCTCGAAACATCCGCAAAGCTAGAGGCTAGGCGTCACAGCAGCTGACCAGCCGAATAATGTAACATAGCGGCCTAACCCCTATAGTACGGGGGCTTCAAGCCACGAGGATCCACGCATCAAGTCTTTGAATGTAGGGAGTCCTTGATTTCAAGGCTACCTTGACAAAAAAGGCAGAGGCTACCTGTAGTATATACAGGCCCCTAGACATTCTTTGTTAGAGCTTAGTCAAAGATATACTAGGACCCTACAGCAAGGTAGGTAGGCTATGGTAGGTGAAAGTATGCTGTGGAAGCTAGCGCCTAGGGTCTAGAGGGTAAGCAGGCTAACGAAGCAAGGAAGCTTGCCAGATCCGTGTCGAAGTAATTTCTTGGCTGACTTCTGAACCCCTCCAAAAAGTTAAACTTTTAGTCTCCTCATTATGGTTCATATAGAAACCCATAAAGGTAAAGTCGTAAGAGCCAACCAGAAGAACACCAAGATTTGGTGTTCATTCATGCAGGCTTCTGGCAGAAAGGCTTTGTCCACTGGGTGAGAGAAGAGCAGGGCAAATCCTCATGCCCCTAAGGCAATTATGGGGAATCCCAGCACTAATCACCCTGAATATGTTCCAAGAATCTGGGAGTCGATGTATGGCCCCCTTAACCCTGAACCCCTAAACCCTAACCCCTAAACCCTAATCCCTAAACCCCTAACCCCTAAACCCCTAACCCCAAAGCTCCTAACCCCTAAAGCCCTAAAGCCCTAAAGCCCTAAAGCCCAAAACCCCTAAACCCCTAAAGCCCTAAACCCTTATAGAGCCCTAAAGCCCTAAACCGCTAAAGCCCTAAACCCCTAAAGCCCTAAACCCCTAAAGCTCTAAACCCAAAACCCCTAAACCCCAAAAACCCTAAACCCTAAACCATGTTTCAAATTTCTGGCAGTATGTACGGTCACCTAAACCCTAAACCCACAAACCCTAAATCCTAAACCCTGAACCCCCAAAACCCTTAAGCCCTAAACCCTAAACTCAAAAACTGCAACCGTGTCTCCGAGGGTAACACCCAGCTTCCCCAGTTGACCATGTTGAAGTGAATCCTTGGCTGACTGCTGAACACCTCCAAAACGTTAAGCTTTTCGTCTCCTTATTATGGTTCATATAGAAGCCCCAAAAAAGTTAAACTTTTAGTCTCCTTATTATGGTTCATATAGAAACCCAAAAAAAGTTAAAGTCCTAAACCCTAAACCCTAAACCCTCAACCTAAACCCTAAACCCTAAGAGCCAGCCAGAAGAACACCAAGAATCTGTGGGAAGAGGGTGGGCCCGCCGCCTGAGTTTCCAGGGCTTCTTAGCAGGGCCTTTGGTAGGGTTTAGGGTTTAGGGTTTAGGGTTTGGGGTTGGGGGTTTTGGGTTTAGGGTTTGAGAGAGAACTTATGGGACTGTACCAGGGATCGATAAGCGCTCGAGTGATTGATTTGGCATCTCCTTAGGTCCTTTTGACATGAGGCTGTCCGTACATATCTGTGTATGTGTGTATATATATATATATATATGTATATAGATTATACATTTATACATATATATATATATATACATATATATATATTTATATACATATGCGTGTTGTATGCAGGTATGTACAAATGTATGCATGTGAATATGTACGTATGTATGTAGGTAGGTCGGTGGGCGGTATATGCACGCATGCAGCGAATGCATGCTATGTACAGCATGTGCTGGATGTCGCCTACTTAATGTATGTATTGTATGTGGGGTGCAGCATTATGAAGCGTATTTACCATATATAATGGATGCAACTTTGGTAATGTACGCAATGCATGTGATGCATGTAGTGCATTTACAATGTATGTCAATGTCTGTACTGTATTCAATGATATGCATGTGTGCAGCGTATACAAGGTACACAGTAATCCATGTACTGTATGCACTGTGTAGTATGCATGCATGTATTCGCGTGTGTGCAAGTATTTGTTTATGCATGTGCTTCTGTATGTATGTGTGTATGCACGCATGCATCTATTTACGTATGAGCTCTTGTATGTATGTGTGCAGGTTTGCTTGTTTTTGGTTTGTTTGCTTGTATGTATGCGCGCATGCATGTATGTGTGCTTGCGTGTATGCGGTTTCACGATTGCAATTTTGCGACGCTTGTACTTGCACTTCTATTCCGCTACATCTTCCTTGTCTACTCGATGCGTTGTCTACAACTGTCTATGTGACTAGAGTCATACCTGGCTCTGCATGTCCGCTGGCTCGGTCCTTCAGGCGCTATAGCGAACTCGACCAAGAAAGTGCTTGGACCACAACAAAACTTAGCAAAACACACCCGCATACTGAGCGCATGGGAAATGAAAAACAAAACTGGAAACCTGACGGGCTGCTGAGGTTTGACTAGCTTTAAGCAACAACATTTCAGAACAGAAGATGTTGCATTTCAATAGACGCTGACATGTAGTGAGACATGAAGTGCAACAGACTGCATACTGCTGCTTGTCAGAACATAAAGCGTGGTATGTTACATCGTAAGACACTGTGATGAAATTCATCGTTCGCCCTTATGGATCTTTACAGTAGCATAGAAACTCACATGCATATTGTTGATCAGCATCGTTGATATTGCTAACATGCCATGCACGTCTTCTGACTGAAGTCCGATTCCTTTGCTGTCTTATACTTCATATACACGTGCGCCACTTAGTTGTGCTATCCCATGACTTCCGCGTGCCAACCTGGTTGAAGGCGTGGATGATAGCCAGGACGGCCTGACTTTGAGGACTGGATTCAACGAAGCGCGTGCAGGAAAACACAACTAAAGCACCAGGTCTCCTTCGCGCAGTCTCCTTTTCTTCAAGAAAGGAAGCCAGCCCCCTTCGAGCAACTACCAGCCCGAACCACCTCTGTGTCGCCTATGATAAGGCTATGGCCAACCGCTTGATATCTTTGCTGGAGGAATAAGAGAAAGACTGCTGAAGTGTGAAACTAAAATCGTGCTTCAGCCCCGTTTCTTGGAGGAGCGCACACTGACACAGACAGGAACATAGCAACCATGTCTCAGGTTGCGGCATATGCTGCAAAGTACAACACTGTCACGCAGGACACTGCCCACCTGTAGTCCAAGACTCCCGTGTCCCCGTGTCAGCTGCGCTCTGTCACATAGGATCTCAGCTGCAGGCAAAGCTGGCCGCATGTGCCCCAGCTGGGCCGGCAAGCTCTGAGGTGGATCGCCGGCGATGAGCACCACCTTCAAGACACCCAGAGCCACGCTGTCAGCTGGATCTCAGCCTCCGTGCCTGTCGAACTTGCCGCGAGTGTAGGGCTTCTGCGCCTGCAAGCAGGGCATCCACCTTTCCACTTGACATGCCACGCTACGCTTCCTTCACTATATGATGTCCTCGTCGAGTTGTGCAGGCCCAGTTGGAATGCAAAGCAAAGTGACAATGAATAGCATGTGATCTTCGCATCGCGAAATCTTCAAGTTGCTCAACTCATGCTGTTCGAATTTCCCTGACTTGCACTCCATGACGGAAGGCTTGTCAGTTGCTTACATGGATGTTTCAGCATCCTGGCCTCTTTGCAGAAGCGAGGTCGGGTCATCACCTGCGCATGTCACGGGCAGAACACAGGGAGCGTTGGGTCCGCCACTCTGCATCTTTTTGCCTTCGGCGAGGTTGTACAGGTCTGCGCGCGCTGCCCCCAGCAAGATGCCCAGGCTCAGGACCTCATGACTATCCCTGAAGCACCCGCCATCAGTGCAGAGTAGTGCAGGCAGAGGGGATCTTCGGAGGCCAGGCAGGGCCCCCGCGGTGCAGAGGCATCGCATCGAGGCGAGGTCTATCTCGATGCGAAGATCCTCGCTGGCAGGATGGTCGTGGAATGTCCTGGACTCCGCATAAAAAGGAATGAATCTCGAAGTGCAGACCAGAAGCTGGAAATACAGAAGTGTTCGATCTGCGAAAGGACAAGGGAAAGCCTATCAAGCCATACCCTTGGCTGCAGAAGGCATTTTTAGGTCGAAGGCGTCACGGACACATGCTGCATTCACCGACATGTACTCTACGCGACACTTGCCGCATGCAGTGCCACTTTGATGGCGAGCTAAGGACTTCTGTTGGGCATTTGCGACAGATGCTTCTGCAGCAACGTTGACTGCAGCGTGTGGACGAGGCGACCTACTGCAGCAGCAGCCGCTCTGTCCGTGTTCAAGCTCTTGCAGCGAAGCTCTGAGCTGAAATCCAGCCAGCATAGCCGACTTTGTATATTACAGATGCGCTGTGCGCATTGGCTCTAGTTCGCCCTCACGGTGGGAAGACATGCACTGCCGGCAAGACTGTCCTCCGAGGCAGGCTGCTGCACTTTTTTTGCACGGCGCTAGGCATGTCAACAGTCCTGCGGCCGTTGCGGCAAGGGCGATGGTGCTCTATCCACCTCGGATGAGGACCTGTGCATTGCACATGGGACGGCATGTTGGCATGCCGGTGCAGTCGCACAACTGAGCCTCAGGTATCCTCCAAGCAAGCTCGTACCTCTGCAGTGGCTTGAATCAGCTTGAACCGATGCAGTCCTGCTGTGCAACTTCGAAGACTCCCGGCAGCGCGCCCTGATCCGCAGGTCGCCTGGACTTGCAAACAGGTGAAGGGCTGAAACCCGCTTTGCCAGCACAGCACCTGGAAGGTCTGATCTCTCCGACCTTGCTGGATGCTGGACCTTCAGAGAGAGCGATTTGGTGCCGACGGGGGTCCTCACATGTCCTCACATTGCCTCGCAGAGTTCCTCCGACGAGATTGTCCTTCGAAAAGCTCAAAAGGCGAGGAGCTCGCTTTCATGTTGCTTCTGCTCCGCACACGGCTCCGCCTGGACCCCGACTCGGCGCTTGCGTGGTGTCTGCGACCTGCACGACTGGGCGACAGCCGTACGGTGCAAGCGAGGCTTCCTCTCCTCTGTGTCGCCTTGGCCCGAAGCAGACTAAGGCCGTTGAGGATGCTGCCTGCGCAGTATCTTGCTGCATTGCTCTGCAGGTTTTTGTTGGCGAGCCTCTGGAGCACCAGAGCCAAGCCTGATGGGATGCGGATGTATACGGGCTCTTTGCAGCCGAGCTCGCTGGCTCTTAAGGTCCGAACGCAGTCGCAGCGTTGACGTCCAGGTACGTGGGAGATGTGGAGCTGCAACGGATCCCCTGCCACGTGAGGCAACGGCAAGCCATCACTGCGACGGCACATCCCAGCCTGTGGCTTGGAGTCGGGGAATTGACCAGGCACCGCGCCGCTCCATCGCAGATGGTCCTGAAGGCTGCGGAGATGTTTCCCGCTCCCCATGTGCCTGAAACCTAAGCTACACAGATTAACGCCGATCCCCTTCAGGCCCCTCAGCAGCCCGGAAGGTTCTTTTACTGCTTGGTGGGATTCTCGTTGGCAACGGATGCTGCTCTATGTCCGGGCAGCTTGAATCTGTGGATGTTTGAATCTTTCCAGGCATGTCCTGCCGCACAGTAGTAATTCATTTGCCTGTTGTTTTTCAAGCTCAAAGACGTGCACGTTGTAAACTCAAGCCTACAGGTGAAAGCCATGCAAGAATCGATGCGCTGCCGACTCCCCACACTGCCTGATCTACCTGCTCTTGCTTCCAATCTCTGCCGCTTCTGCGCCGGTGTAGGCTGCCGGGCCCGGGTTGGAGCTAAAAGTCGGTTACATGCATCATCGCTTGGAACTCCAAGCAACAAAAATGTGCAGAAAGATGAATCGTTCTGAGTGCGGCCTCCGTGTTCACCCTGGTGCACTGGCAGGGATGGTGACGTTTCATAACAGTAGCCATTGCAGTAGCTATCTTCTGCTAAACCCCACCAGGCCATAGTTAGAACGGGGATGAGAAAGATCCAAACATGCTCAGAAGCGCCTGAGGTTGGATGTAGCGCCGCTGCGTCCGGCTGTCAGACCTCCGAAACACCCCATTACTTCTCTGAGTTGCAGCCAGGATACACAAGAAAGTTCTTGAAGAGACTGCCTCCACCCCCAGACCCCCTCCCCCGCTCCAGGCAGACCTCGCGGCTCGCAGTTGGCCTGCGCAGTGAATTGCCAGGCGCCTGCCCGTTAAAGAGTGGGAGGAGCCTTCGAAAGCCTGGCGGCACCGTCGGCTCTCTCGTCCTTTGACCTGGCAGCAGGGCCGAAAGGAGCCTCCGGCTTGAGGTTCCTGGTTCAAGGTTTTAAACAGTCTTAGGCTGCGTTCAGTCTTTTGCGTGGGGTCGGTATATAGACCCTCCATCCGGCCAATGAAGCCCTGGGAGGCAAGATTTAACAAGCAGCAACAAATTCTCTTTACGTTGGCGTCCTGACGTTGACGTAAACGTCTTATCACTGCATATCACTGCCTATCACTGCGCTGTGGAAAGACATCGGAAGAATCGCCCCATAGCAGCCCGTCCTGCAACGCAGCATCCAATTGGCTGGAAGGCCCGGGCCTCGACGCTGAAAGCTTCAAGAAGCAAAGATGCAGAATACTTGTTAAAACTTTGTTATAGGATCGAGCTGTTGCGAAACGCTAGCAAACCGGAACCGCAGGAACCTAAACCGCATCGGAACGACACACACGCGCACACACACACACACATAACCGTCGCTGGTGGAAGCTTTGGCAGTGTGCATGCAGTGATGACTGGCAAAGCTGCTCGAGAACCTCCAGCACCATTTTTGTTGCTAGGCGTTGAACACGTGCCGACGTCCTTCTTTGGAGTCTTTAACCTGGTCATGCCAAGGAAGGTCAACCGAACGACAGCAAACATCCCCCCGACCCGGGGCCTCTTCATCGTACTGCTTGTGCTTCACAGCGTCAAACCGCCTCCCGGCGTTGCAAGCCCGGTGGGAAAACCGCGTCAGTCTACGTCCCACCTCACACCAGAGCTTGCTCCATCGCTCTGCTCCGCAGATGGCGGAGGACAGTGCCTGTTAGGCAACTTGATGTGAGAGCACTTTAGAGGAGACTCACACTGAGCTCACGACTTCTTTGAGTAGATCTCTAGACAGTCTGCGGTGCCACCCTTTGAGGCCTCACAGAGGCAGCAGTCATGACTTGGCATCTGACAGCCTTGAAAGCATGAAAGGACAACGACTGTGACGGCACGACTTTCATCCTTCCACCCGCATTCCTCGTCCAGTTACCCTTCCCCGTCGCGCCGCGGCGCTTTTTGCTTGCCGCCACTTTGGCTTTCGTGTTCAAGCTTTCCACACGCATTGGAGCTTCTAGGTAGCACAAGCCGCTGGCTCGACTGCAAATCCGTTGTGACTCGGGCTGGAAGGTGGACGGCCTCCTGCGACGGAGGGAAGTGACGTCTTGACTGGACCTTCTCCGCGTCCACCAGAGCTGAAGGCACCTCATCGCAACCAGTTGTGATTCCAACGGGAGATGCGTCCACTTCGGCCCTTGGCCTCAGTGGAATCTGCCGCGCGAGGATCCGGGCCGAAGAAAAAGTGCCTCAGCGATGCCAACCCTCCGCACATTTCTGGATCCGACCTACAACAAGCACTGCAGTCGGAGGGCCGCCGGCCCATGGTGGAGCTGCTCGTATGAGTGAAGCTCGTGAACAACGATACGACAATGCTCTCCATCTCTGCCATAACTTCGTAGGTGCTGCGGCTACCGCTGTTGCCATGGCATTTCTTGTGACATGCCACGGCCGGTTTTCCATCAGCTTTCAGCTGAAAAAGCAGAAGGCCAGCGGGAGTTCGTCGTTCTCAACATGCTAGGTCCGACCTGCCACTAGCATGTGAACTGAAATCAACATCGCAGCTCTTGAAGCCAGGAGCAAGCCAGCTTTTCCTGCCCTGTTCTTTCCGTGTCTGCAGGATCGCTTTGCTACTGCGTGAGGTCGATGAGTCGCTTCGCTTCCACTACACGACCCTGAAATTCATGGACCTAAGTATAGAACCATCGCTGCATACATGTCCTCACGGCGTGTCGGTTCCGACTGCAAGCTCTCAGAATCGCATATTGAGGCGCTGCTCCATGATGTCATGCAGCCCCCTGCAAGCACAGGCTAGTGCATGGGCGGAACCCGCAACTCAACAAAGCCCGTCTCACTTGCTGGCTCCTAGTAGATCCCATTCCGGGTGGTCCAAAACTTACACGACAGTCACCCATCAACAGCAAGGCACCTGTTCGGACCTGTGAAGCGCGACAGTGCTGAGTTGGCCTCCAACGGCAAAGTCATGGATGACCGGAAGTCAGACTTTGATGCAGCCCCGTGCTTCCATGCTATGCCATCACAGCCTCCAGGTTCATGATGTCCTCGAATTCGATTGTGTCTTCCATGTCCATGACAGTCTCCAGTCCCACCTGGGAGTGGTGTGGTTGTTGATGCCAGGACAAAGATGAGTGAATCTCCCAAGGTGAGTGAAACTGGCTTTGTGCACCTGTGCTTCGCATCTGCTGAACACCAGGTAAACAGACCCCGGCTTGAGGCATGCACCAAAGAGGATGGTAAGCCAGGCAAGCGCTGGAACTGTGACAGCAGCTCGCGCTCCTTTCGAACTCAGCAAGAGTTGTAAGGTCTCCGGTGGCTTAGCCTTTTTGTATTACCTTATGACTAAGAAAACATGCCGGTCACACCATCTTGGCTTTCAGTGGAGCATGCTGCCCGAATACCTGTGAGAAAACTTGTGCCAAAGCCATGATGACGAGCAGGTTGCATGTCAAATAGGCAATGAGTTGGCATCTTTTCTGCTCCGCAGGTCATTGAATCATGAAGTCCATCCACTGGATAAGCCACAGGCTTCACGCAGATCGCAGATCAGAGAGTCGACTTCCTCCCGCTTGGTTCGCAGAGTATCAGCGATGCCCTGCACCAACGAATCGGCGAACTCTTGGACCTCCTGCGCAGCCGACTCCTCAATGGACCATGCTTCGTCAGTGGAGGCCACTTTGTGTGAGACGCTTTCTCCTTGGCTTCACAGACACCTATTGCGACTGAGACACAGAACACGATTGCGACCTCGAGTTCACCTCTCGATCGGTTCGAGCTCGGCATGCCGTGGAAAACAGCAACAACCCCAAACCTACCTATCAGATGATAAGGCAAAGCACCTGCTTAAACTAAGACGTGGCTTTGGATGGTGTTCGACTTGCCGCCTCTTAAGAGCACGGTGGAGTTCTCGGGATGGTCCAGGTTGTCGTTATTGGGCGGAACGTGTTTGTTGATATTTGGTTGTTGTTCAAAATAACA